AATTACTATTGAGTTTTAATATAATAATCATAATTAGCTGATGGAGTTGTGATTGCAAATGAAGTCATTGATGAGGCTAAAAGGAAGAGAGAAGTTTTCTTTTCAAGGCTGACTTTGAGAAAGCATATGACAAAGTGTGTTGGAATTTTATTGATTACATGCTGATAAGGACGAGATTTAATGAAAAATGGAGAAAATGGATCCAGGAATGTCTAAGATCAAGCTCGGTTTCTGTTTTCATTAACGGAAGCCCAACAAAAGAGTTCTCGGTAAGCAAAGGTATTTGACAAGGCGACCAGTTGTCCCATTTCTTATTTCTGATTGTGGCAGAAGGGTTGAATGGATTAGTGTCTTCTGCAATGGAGAAGAAACTATATAAGGGTGTCACGATAGGCAATGGAGATACTACGGTTACACACTTACAATTTGCTGATGACACCATTTTCTTTAGTGAGGCAACAGATGAAAACATAAGGGTGGTCAAAGGGATTATGAGTACTTTTGAGTTGGCTTCAAGGCTAAAGATTAATTTTGGGGAAAGTCAGATAATGGGGGTGGGAGTTGAAGAAAGCTGGACAACAAAGATGGCATACAGACTATGTTGTACATAGGGAGAATTTCCATTTAAATACTTGGGAATTCCTATTGGCGGGAATCATAGAAAAACAACAATATGGCATCCAATGGTTCAATCCTTTAAAAAGAAGCTTGCTAGCTGGAAGGGTAGGCAACTTTCTTTCAAAGGTCGCATCACACTCATCAATTTAGTGTTGTCTAGTCTACTTGTGTTCTTGATGTCCGTCTACTTAATCTCAAAAGGTATACTTCATTCCATTGATAAAATTTGTAAAAGTTTTTTATGGGTTGGGGTGGGGGGACGATGAGAGGAAGATTAATTGGGTCAAGTGGGAGAAGGTATGTAAAAAAAAAAAAAAAAGAGGAAGGAAGGCAGGGGGTGAAGCACTTGAGGAAGTTTAATTTGGCTTTGATGGGAAAATGGTGGGGACGGTTAGCAGTAAATAAAGAGGGATTGTGGAAGAAAGTAATAATTGAAAGATATGGTGATGGAGGAGACCATTGGCTAGATTGGGTAAAAGGGAATAGAGGAGTAGGTTCAATATGGCTGAGAGATGTGTGCCGTCTTGATTCTTTGGATGGAGAGAGTGGAGGGTGGTTGACGAAGGGTTTTAGAATAAAGATGGGGGAGGGAAGAAGGGTTAGTTTCTAGTGGGATCATTACTGTGGGGAAGGGTGTCTTGCTAATAGGTTTTCAAGGTTATATTTGTTATCAACAGGTAAAAAGAACATGTGCTATTAGATGGGCAATGTTAGCAATGGCTCATGGAAATGGAACCTAAAGTGGAGAAAGAACTTCAAAAGATGATAAAAGATGTGAAGATATCCGAAGGAGGCCTCGACTTATGGGAATGGATTCACAACAAGGGCGATCAATATTCAACCAAAATTGCTTATTCTCTTCTAACGATGGAGCTGGGGGAATCGAACGAGGTTAAGACTTACAAAAGAATATGGAATCCCATTCTTCCTAGCAAAATATCAACATTCAATTGGCAATTATTACTAGATAGAATACCAACCAAGGCTAACTTGCTAAGAAGAGGGATCATTAAAGACATGACAGAAGCTAAGTGCGCCATATGTAATGAAGAAGAAGAGGATTCTACTCATGTTTTTTTGAACTGCAAAATTTTTAGGTGGCTGTGGAAGGCTTGCTCTAAATGGTGGGGGACCAATATAATGTTGGATAGGGATTGCTGGAAAACTTTTCAACTCTTTGGGACAGGCACTAAAGGATTAGACATCAGAGAAGGCGTGGATTGTATATGGAAAAATGTTGTTTGGTTCGTGTGGATTGCTAGAAACCAAAAGATCTTCCGCAACAAAAAGGAAAATCCTGAAAAGCTATTTGAACTTGTCTAAATGAGATCTTTTTATTGGATTAAAGCGAGAACAAATTGGTACACTATTAATCTTTCAGATTGGATTATTGATCCAGTTGCATGTCTAAAAACTATTTATGGTAAGATTATAAAAATATTTAATAAATTAATAAAAAATAATTATTAATTATAATTAT